ATGGTATGATTAGTTGTTAGTGGGATTTTGAGGTTATATTAAAATAATATATGAAGTAAAATAATTAAAGTTGAATATTTGTAAAAGTAGGAGAGAGATGATGTGAAGTGATGATTAGTTACATAATTTGAGTGGATGAGTAGTGAATTAAAATCGATGACGTGATGCGTAAGAATGGTTGTTTGGTATTTTATTTTGATTATATTAATAATATTGAAGATAATAGAGTTGTGTTAAAGCTAAGTTAGATTTTAAGTATGAATTGGATAACTTTATAAACAAACACACCCTTACTATGTGCACTTGGTTTATAGTTCTGTACATGGAAAATTGGTGCTATTATTATATTATTCTGCAAAATCTATTTTGCAGACTTGAAGGCTGCAGCAACATGGGAAGTTGATGGAAATGGATCGACCACTGGAGTCCCTTATTCTATGTACCTCCTTTCTGGTATTTTTTGCCGATTCATTTTATAATTCTCTTTTATACAAGAAATCTATCTTTTAGTTATAATGTGCTATGTGCAAGTAGTTTCTTTTTCAGATGTGGTTCAAATGTTCAGTTAGAAAAAACTGGATTGACTTATAACTTTGCTTTGGATTGAACTTTGCTTTCACTCTTGCTCCTTATATCTATCATTATTTACCTGGACGAGTCGTACAGCTGATATTAGTAAGGGCCTAGGCTATAACTGTTTACACATAAAGCACTTTCATTTTTACATGCCACAGTCCAAGGTATTTACAAGATTCTTTAATTTTTTATTTTTTTTAACCAGCTGGGGATCTCCAAGCTGGAAAAGAGATATCCATCAGTTATGGTAACAAGGGAAATGAGGTATGCTGAATGTGAATTCTGCTGAAATATCCATCAGTTATTTCATGAACAATTGTGTTGTCTAATGGCTAAAAGTATATTGGCAATGCTCGAAATTCCTTTATCGTTAAAGAGAAAACGGATCCAAAGAACAGAGCTAGCTTCTTCTGCCAGCGGTGTATAATAATAATTAATAAACCTCTGTCATTAACTCTTAATTGGCTTGGAGTGTAGATCATGTGTTTTTTCAAGAATCAGATATTATAGGATTTATTACCTAATGGTGTGTTTCTATTTTCTCAGTTTCTAACCATTGTTCTTGCAGGAACTTCTATACCTTTACGGATTTGTCATTGAGAACAACCCAGATGACTATCTTATGGTAAACAATCTTTCGTCGGTTTCTATAGTTCTTTTATCATAAACTTAAATCTACTGCTAAAAAGTTATTCTTTTCCAATCTTGATGGCCCTCTCTCTCTCTCTCTCTCAACACGCACTCATATTTTTATTTTCCATGTTCCAAAATTTTCAGATTCATTATCCCATGGAAGCTATTCCGGATTTGCCCTTCTCCGAGACCAAAGTGCAGCTTCTTGAAGCACAGGTAAACTGAGTTACCGCCATAGAAATAATCTATTTCCAGAAGTAAATAAGCATTTGTCATGACTCGTAATAACTCGATTTTTGTGTTTACAGAAAGGCGAGTTGAGGTGTCTCTTGCCTAGAAAATTACTAGACAACGGATTTTTTCCCGAATGTTCTTCGCTCGAAGGAACTTACAACAAGCGCACGAACAATGCGAGTAGTTTTAACTATAGTTGGAGCGGACAACGTAAAATGCCTTCATACATTAACAAACTTGTTTTCCCCGAAGATTTCTTAACTTCCCTGAGAACAATAACCATGAAGGAGAAGGAACTAAACCGAGTCTCTTCATTACTCGAGGAGGTGCAGTTTTTTTGTCAGCATATTATTCTTTATCTTTCAGCCAATACTATCCGTAATTGTTTTTGTCTCGTTAATGCATAGATTTAAAATGTTTTTTCTGAAGCTTGTTGGATCTGAAAAAGAGAGGCAACCATCCGAGACTGAAGTTCGAACAGCTGTATGGGAAGCCTGCGGAGATTCAGGCGCTCTACAAATGCTCGTTGATCTTCTTAACATGAAGTAATCTTCGACTCTTTTCGCCTTTACATTTGTGAATATTATCCTCAAATTATTGCGGTTTTCATATTAGTAATGACATTCAAAATAAATTTTATCTTAGATGTTGAATTTATCTTAACCTATGTTTTGGTTTTGGTAAAACTAGTTGATAAATTAGCTTATAGCTTATAAGTGATTTTCAAGCTTATAGCTGAAAACCTAGCTTATATCAGCTAATTTAAATAAAAAATCAACGAGCTCATTTTAAAAGCTATCTAAAGAAGCTTATGAGTCGAGCTCTTTAAAAACTCGTTCTCCCAAATGAAACTTATTTGAATACAGAAAACTTATAGCTAGCCAATTATCCAAACATAGCCTAAGTGATTTTCGAGGTTATAGGTTATAGCTAATGACTTATAACTGAAAAACTAGTTTATTGATAAAAGTGTTTGGTAAAATTAGCTGACAAGCTAGCTGAAATAAAAAATTCAATGAGCTTATTTGAAAAGCTACCAAAAGAAAATTATGAGATAAGCTCGAGCTTTTTAAAAAATGTCCGTCCTACCAAATGAAGGTTATTTAAATGCAGGAAGCGTATAAGCTAACCAAATAAGCTATAAGCTAGCTTATATGTTTATCAAACATAGCCTTATTCTTCTTGCTTCCCCATTTATTTTTATGTACAAAAAGGATGATGGAACTTGAAGAGGGTTCGGGCACAGAAGAAAATGATGCTGAGTTACTTGAGAAAGCCCACATCAGAGAAACTTCAAACGAGGAAAGGTACGTACAGAAACAGAGTGAAGACGAGTCTTAACCATATAATTATTATTTTGAGACTCGTGTTGTAAATACAGAACAAGAATTTTGAATCACTCTGCAAATCATCTTGCTATGTTGAGCTAGTGAATACAGAAAAAGCTTTCCACTGTCAAAATTTGTAACGATGCATAGTTTATTATACAAGTGACTCACAGAAAATGATCATTTTTCACTGATTTGCTGCAGGTCATTCGAAAACAAATCAGAATGTCGTTATATGAGCAGAAACAAATGGACTAGCATAGTATATCGGCTAGGGCAAAAACAGTTGGTTCGTCGTTTTGTGGGCGAGGCAGAACAAGCATTGCAGTTGGCCTTGAGCGAGGATAGCTAGAGTTCAGTTTTCTATGGACATCGTCTTTTTCAAGTTATACAAATGTCTAAAATCCACATCAAAAGACTCTATGCCCATATGAACTCCATTTACGAAGCAAAAACTAATTTATCAACAAAATTTTCCTCTTCACAAGTCTGTTGATTTCAACATATTGATTGACAAAACACACAAAAATGACAACAAAAAAGAGTACTTGATAGAAACTTCATTGTTCTTCCAAGCCAGCCACATTCCTTAGAGTCCAGCCGATACCGTAAGCCGCACCACCGGCGATGGCTCCGTTAAGAAGGGTTATACCCATAGAGAAGGCATAATTTTGTCCTGCGATTTTCGCTTTGAGGACACCTAAGAGTACAAGTGCCAATGCAGAAAGAACACAAGCCCCGACAAACTTAACCTTGTCGTCGTTTGTGAATGGGATGAGAATGATAAATGCGAGAATCGGAGCACATCCGAAGGCCATAAAGGCTCCAAAAGTGACAATCCCACTTTTCCATGGCTTGTCCGTCTCGTCCGGTGGGGTCATAAGTTTCTCGTCAACTAGTATGTGTGGGTACTTGGCGAACACGTTCACGACCTATAGGAAACAAATATAGTAAAAGCAACAATCCTAGTTAAAATCAGTCTCCTAAGTTTATAGCATAATCGTCTAGGCTGAGTTTAAGTCCTCAATCGTAGCAAGGACTAAAGTTGCAATCTCAACCCTTGCTAGCTTATAAAATTACAGTTCAAGCCAACAAGTTTTCACCACAATAAAACAATAGATAAATTGGGTAAGTTTCTCGTCGACCAGTATGTGTGGGTACTTGGTGGATACGCTCACGACCTATAGGAATCAAATGTAGTATAGCCAACAACCCTAGCTAAAATTAGTCTCGTATGTTTAGCATAATCATTTAGACCGAATTTAAGTCTTCAATCCTAGCTAGAGCTAAAGTTGCAATCTCAACCTTTGTTATCTAGCTTATAAGATTGTAGTTCAAGCCAACAAATTTTCTCCACGTTAAAACAATAAATAGATCGGGTAAGTTTCTCGTCAACCAGTATGTGTGGGTACGTGGCGAATACGCTCACGACCTATAGAAAACAAATGTAGTAAAAACAACAATCCTAGCTAAAATTAGTCTTGTAAGTTTAACATAATCGTCTAGATCGAGTTGAAGTCTTCAATCCTAGCTAGGACTAAAGTTGCAATTTCAACCTTTTTCATCAAGCTTATAAGATTGTAGTTCAAGCCAACAAGTCTTCACCACGTAATAGAATTATAAATTGTACCTTATATGCTTTAGAGTATTGTACTTAAAGTCTTTTATTTGTAATTTCCTTTATATGTAAAAGTGTCACTAGTATTTAACACTTTCTGTTATTTCACCAAATATATATAAAGGGTTTGCTAACCCTAAAACATAATGTAATTTTCATTTTCTCTCTTTCAATAATATCATCGCCGCTTTCTCTTTCTCTCTCTATTCCTTCTCTCTTGTTCTTCATCTTCTTCTTTCAATCTGATAAATCTGATATGGTATCATTCGCCAGTAGATCTTGACTTTTTCTGCTGCATCTGTACTTGTTTTGATCCGATCTCATTGCTGATATCGTTCGATATGTCTCTCGCCGTCAGTCCGTCCGACGATCCTACATCACCGTTTTTCCTGCATCCAAGCGACAATCCTGGTGCTCTCATAGTTGCAGAACTCTTCAATGGCGAGAACTATGTTTCCTGGTCTCGCGCCGTCTCTATGGCTCTCAGCGTAAAAAACAAACTAGGGTTTGTTGATGGTACTCTGTCTGCCCCTAACTCTACTCAAAACCCTAATCTATATATGTCTTGGGTTCGAGCTAACAATCTTGTGCTGTCCTGGCTTTTGAATTCTGTGAACAAGGATATTAGACAGTCTCTGTTATTTTTTACAATTGCTCATGAAGTTTGGGAAGAATTGAAATCTCGATATGCCCTATCTAGTGGCCCTAGGGTTTTCCATCTCGAGAAATCTCTTAGTACTATAGATCAGGGTACTTTGTCTGTTACTCAGTATTACAGCAACTTCAAATCTCTTTGGGATGAGTATGTGACTTATCGCCCTATTTTCAAATGTGTCTGTGGTGTTTGTGCTGATTGTACATGTAAAATCTTTGAGGCTATGGCTACTGCTCAGAATCACGACTCTGTTATGAAGTTTCTGATAGGCCTAAATGAATCCTATTCATCTCTGCGGAGCCACTTCCTTTTATCCAACCCTCTACCCTCTCTTGCTACTGTATACTCCCTTCTACTTCAAGAGGAAAGTCAGAGATCTTTATCCAACACCACCAAATCATCTGACTCTCTTGCTATGCTAGCCAAAACAAACAAACCATCATATTCCTTCACAAACAAACCTCCTACATACAAACACCCAAACTCAAACTCTTTCACCAACAAACCCAATGATAAACCAAAACCAAAATGTAGCCACTGTGGCTATGTTGGCCACACTGTTGATAGATGTTACCAAATCATTGGTTACCCTTCTAACTGGGTTGGTCCCCGTGGTCCTAGATCCTCTTCAAAACATTCTGCTCATGCTGTTATCACTGACTCTACTTCTCCTATATCTGATAACCCTAATGATGCATCTTCCATGACTGACCGTTTGTTTACTGAGTTTTTAGCCTTTAAGAAATCACAGGAGTTGACACAAGGTAACTCTAACACTCCTGTGGTTGCTACTGCATTTGCTGAGCTACCAGGTACTCCTAAACCCTCTCTATGTATGATTGCTCAAACTTTATCAAAAACTACATGGATTCTTGACACTGGTGCCACTGATCACATGATATGTGCTTCTGAATTCTTTACTTCACCTACCACATCTGTATCTGTTAAAATCACAATGCCTAATGGTAATCATGCTATTGCATCTCAAATTGGACAAGTTCAACTTGCTGATTCTCTGATCTTACATGATGCTTTATTTGTGCCATCTTTTGCATTCAATCTCATATCTGTATCCAAGTTGGCTGCCACAAATAACTGTATTGTCAAATTTCTGTCATCTTCTTGCTGTCATCTTCTTGCATATTACAGGATCTGTCAAATCAGACAGTGATTGGTTCTGCTGAACTTAAAGATGGTCTATATCATCTCTCTTTACCTACTAATCATACCTTTCTAAATACTGTTCATACTGAAAACTATGTAACCCCTCAACTACCTGTAAACTCTCATTCCCTTGTAACCTCTGATTCATCTATATGGCACTATAGATTGGGACACTTATCATACTCTAAACTTCAAACATTATCTCTTACACCTACATGTAAACCTGCTGTTCCATGTGATGTGTGTCATTTCTCCAGACAGAAAAGGTTACCTTTCTCTGAAAGTGCATCTACATCTGCATATCCATTTCATTTAATCCACTGTGATGTTTGGGGACCTTTCTCAGTCCCATCTCATTCAGGTCATAAATATTTTCTCACTATTGTTGATGATTATAGTAGACTTACTTGGATTTACCC